GGAAGGAAGGAAGGAAGGAAGGAAGGAAGGAAGGAAGGAAGGAAGGAAGAAATCCAGAAATTACAGATGGATAATGCTTCCATGACTTACAAAGCAGAGTATCTGTTCATTGCTGACTGTATATCCTGACGTTGCATTGCACGATGAAACACTTGTACGGGATCAAATTTTTGTTCCCACACTATGTCTGAAAAGTAAAAAAAACATAAGCAGGAAGAGCTTAGCAAAAACCGAAGAATCCAATATACCCTCTCTCTTGACTTAGAAATCATGGTAATACAGGCTTTACACCATCGCGTGATGACAGCCATACATAAGGCACAACAATTAATCACTTCCCATTCATATCGGTTCCCTGGTCAAACTCGAAGCATTAGAGACCTTCAGGTCATCAGGTTTACCGCTAACCGCTAGGGATTAGGCCCAGAAACAGGCCCGCAAACACTGACAAACACTCAGCATCAATGAAATTTTATATCGCGGCTCTTCCAGCAACAACTTCGTTATGATACTATGCTAAATGTCGAAAGCTTGACTGAAAACGCATCACAACATCGAACTGCAATTTGACGAGGTTTGTGGTACCTAGCAAGAACAATGTCCTTGTAGCCTGGTATGAATGCTTTTTATATGACCAGAGGTATGTACATGTAAAGTACGTAAATAGAGTCTTTTTATTTTCTGAGGAACTGAATTCTTCCTCATGTAAATTAGAATAGACCAGATTCCATTGTCCCAGCCTCCTATCATGGCTGCCATCAAGTGATGGCGCAAAGCCTCTATGGTCTGGTTAATCATATGACATGCTTTGATAAATGAAGTCTATCAATTGAAAGACACATTTCATTATACTGGCACTCTGAATGACACAGAACAGTATTGTTACAATGTATTTACCTTTAGGGGCATATTTTCCTTGCTGCATCCATCCATTCTCAAAAGCTGGTGCTTTGTAAACTGCAATCTGAAAGAAAACAATAGCCATGTCGGTGAATGGTGAAATTATCCCTGGAATGATCTTAGTCAGGGGCCATAGATTGAATTTGTTGTTAGAACTATGCTATGGATGGGGGGAAAACTGAGAATTCAGAAGAAACCCTTGAATCAAGGGAGAGAACCAAGGAACACTGCTCTCCAATGCCGACTTCAGGACTGGTTTGAAACCAAGATGAGGGTGCCCAGAGTGCACATCACCACTACGGCACTCTTGACCAGTTCCAAACATTCTGAATCATATAATATTATGCTATCTAGGTAATTCATTGGTGTATCTAGTTTTTTTTACCTCTGCCAGAGATTCTTCAAACTCCTGAATCTTGTGTGTCTGGCCAGGCTTGTCAGGAATGTTCACACAGTTAAGAAACAAATTTAACATTGCAGAAGACATTTTTTTAAACTTGCAATTGTATCTTCCTTCACAGATTATTCCGGCCCATCGCCTTAATTGACGTCCAACAAAACCTACTTTGTCGCCAAGACGATTTCGCGAGTGTTATTGAGAAATACCGGTTTTAAGTACAATAATCAGATGCCACTTCAGAGTTAAATGTGGCAGGCCTATAGAACTGTCGGACAAATTAGAAGACTAATTATCATGGAGCAGCAGGTGTATAGCAAGAGGTGAAGGGGTTCGGATGAGCAATCGTTGAATATGGCAAAAAGTTATAAAAGATGAAGTGAGGATGCTTGTGTATTTGCGGGAAATGTTACCTTGCCCCCGCTATGACCGACACGTCAACACACAACTAAGGAGTAGGGAAAGCATATCTGGAACTCAGTTTCAATAATCTTGATTGTCGTAAAGGATGCATTGATTGATATATATTGGGTCTTAATAAGAATACGACAATTGCTACAATAAGTACAGTCAGATTGCTAAAATAAAGGATATGAGTTCAACAAGTTGACTGTGTGTTCTGTCTCCTATGCACAAGAGCGCAACCATTTCTTGACGAATTACCTCTTGGTGGCTTAGTCCTTTGAAAGCAAAGCAAAGCATACTTTCTAACAAACTTTAAAACTAACATACTGTAAAACAAAACATACTGGCTACGAAGGTACCTTTTTAAGCGAACACCCTTGGGACCTTGTCTAGTATCTGCTTAACTTAGGCTCGTATTTAAGTGTTGGTTCCCGCTTAATAAAAGTGTCCGTTGAGTGGTTCGTTTCACAGTAAATATGGGAGAATTTTGTTTACGGAACCCGGGCTAATGTCCACTTAATAAAGGGCATCCACTTAATAAGGGGTGCTGTATCTAACCACTGTAGAAGGTAATTTATCTCTTTATAAGAAGAACTAAACCGTTTGCCGGGACCTTAGAGCCTGCCCCTCATCACGTTTGCACGTTTGCTTAATTATTTCCCCCCCTGTTGTTACAACTCAAGCGTGACGAAAGCCTTTTTTGACAGCATTCCTTACCTAAGTGAAGCCTTGAGCTCAGTAAGTTTAGAATCAGACAAAGAGCGCCCTCCACCATGGACATGTCGGTATCCATATCGAAACAAGATGGAGTAGGAACATTGAGAGGACCAAAATGAAACCAGTGTTTTATACCAAATCTTTCTAATATGGCATCCAGGAGGTAGTCAGGATCCAGAAAAGCTGCACAGATCTTCAATTGTACGAAAATTTCAAATAAGGTACTTTTATAAATACAGATAATACAGTACTGTACAACAAAAGTCTGGAAAATTTTATCAGGTTCCAACACCATGACAGGCAAACTCATGGACATTTTCTAGTTCTAGGCATACAATTTTAGCAGAGCCAACCAGAGTGCACCAAAGCACTTGGGCTGATCTAAATCAGGGCATGGCTAACTCGCAGATCAAATTGGAATTATACTATTGGGCTATATGGAGTTGAAATGAAACTAAACAACTGAGAGAGAAACTCTCTAATCAATAGAGAGTTCCAACAAACTTCACTCAAAGGCTAGCCAAGTCAAGAAATTGAACCAGACTCCAGAGTGTACATGTAAGAGGTGAGTACATGTAATGTATTGTGCAAAAAGGTGTAAAAGGAGGCTTTGCACCATCACATGATGGCAGCCATGACAGGAGGCACAACTATTTACTCATTCCCCTGGGAAACTGAATTTTCTCTCATGTAATTACGCAAATTAGTTTAGACCTGCCTTCTGCCATGGCTATGATCAAGTGATGATAGATGATGCAAAGCCTCTGCTTGAAAAATTAGTATCATTTCAAGGCAATAACAATACCTGAAGCAAGAATATGTCCAGATCAATCATTGAATTGCAAAAATGGCATTCTGCATAGAGACGCATTTGACTGCGAATCTGACTACCATTTCTGACCCATCTTCCAATTCTAATTTCACATACAGCTGCCTGTTAAAACATAATTCCTATTAGTGGCAGATCTATAACTTTGGGAAGTGGGATGACATGCCTCCCAACACCAAGTAGATCCATCACTGCTTAAAATTTATTGTATCTAGGATACAAACCTGGATCTGTAGCAAATGCTCAGCCATTTGTGCAAGTAACGTCTGTGAAGGAACAATCTCTTCTAACGGCATTTTGAAATGAGACATGGCCTGAAAACGACACACAGTCAGACAGCATTAGCGTCACTACAGGTAAGTTGTGGATGGATGTGGATTTTAGAGGTATAGAATATTGAATGTCTAAATAATTTATTAAAATTGGCCTTTGCTAAGTTACATGAATATGATGCAATGTAGTCTATGTAGCTTGGATGTCCACTACATGTATCTCAAAAAAACGTCTGTCATGATGTTACCAAGACAATACTCAATATTCTAGACAGATGCCCTAGCAACAGAAGCAGCAGTAAGGGGGACACGCGAATCGCCGGCACACTCCCAAAAATGACACGGGTATAACCCGCACTTACGAGGCCCTACAGGGGGTCTTGCGCGATCGGGTGGCA